GAGGAGGAGGAGGAGGAGGAGAAGAAGAAAGTGCTCTTCTAATAGGGCATAGTTACACCACAATCCCTTCTCCTCCATTTCTCCATCCTGTCGGGATTTGGGGCATGCACATACATATGCCTGACGTTTTTCAAATTGCTGGGGCTGAGAATCAAACCACAGGTGGCTGTGTGGGATCTGGCTCCCAGTAAACCATCATTTAATCACTGTGCTATAAGGTTAGGCCTATAATTATTCCTTTACATAATTTATATCTTTTAAATAAGCTGAGATGGTTCAGCCACTGTGATAAGTGCCGTGTAAGGCTAGAAGCCACATGGCTGACTGTGGGTTTGGATCCCTAGGTCAGCATGAAAACAAACAGGCATATGTGTAGGTTCCAGAATCCTGAAGAACTGATGGTCTAAGGGAAGGGGATCATGGTATGACGAGACCCAGGCAAATGTGCTTCTCCCTCTATAATTTAAAAAACAAGAGAGAAGGAAAGGGAGCAAATATATATTTATAGTTTGTTATACTGACTTTCTTATTTTTTTCTGGTTCTCTTCATTTTTTCCTATGGAATCATCTTAGCATTTGATATCATTTCCTCACTCAATATAGCTTTGTTGTTCCCTCCCACCTCCTTTGTGATGTTATTGTCAAACATACCTACCTGTTATAGGTATTTGTGTGTATGTGTGTGTGTGTGTGTGTGTATACAAACAATTTTATACAATTGATATTTAAATTGGTTGAGAGAAAGGAGAAGAAACATGCAATTATACTCTCTTTTTTGGGGTTGTTTGAAAAGTCATGACATATTTTTCTGTTCTTTCTCTCTTTTTTTCTTTTAAGAGATTTTTGCTATAGCGTACAAGCACTTACCAGAGAGACAGAGAAACAGAAAGTGAGAAATCACCCCTCCCCCCAGAAGGGAAGATGACAGCACAATCCCTTCTCTTCCATTCTTCTCTCAGGATATTAGGCATGCATGCATGCGTGCTGGGCATGAGTTTTAAGCTGCTGAGTCCGGAACTCTAACCACAGTCAACTATGTGGGAGCCCAACGACACAACCATTATGCCATCTGCTGGTTCATATATTTTTCTATGGGAAAATGTGTCATGACTCTCCCAATGACCCAACAGAATTACCCAACTACATAATTACTTTGACCTGCACTCTTTGTCTTTGTTTTTTAAAAATTATTAAACAATTTTTTTTGTACAGATTCAAATCATTGTTGGGCATCACCTGCTTTCAGTCTAAAGAAATTCTTCTACTATTTTTTTCATTGGTTTATTTATTGGGACCAGCAGGTGGTGTGGAGATTAAGGTGCTGGACCTGGGGTTCGAGTCCTGGACCTGTCAGCTTGCTTTCTCACTTTTTTTCTCCCTTTCTCTTCTCTCTCTCTCTCTCTCTGGTGAGCACACGTGTCCTATAGCAAATTAAATAAAATAATAATAAATAAAATTAAATAGGGACCAGCAGATAACATAATGGTTACATCGCTGGATTCCCACACAGAGGACCGCAGTTCGAGTCCTAGACCCAGCATCTTAAAAGTCACAGTGGGCTCATGTGCATGCATGCCCAAGATTCTGAGGGAATGGAGAAGGGGTTGTGGCATGGCCATCTCCCCTAAGGGCTGATTGTGATTTTCTGTCTGTCTATGTCTCTCCAGTGAGCACATGAGCCCAAAAGCAAAAAAATCTCTAAAAAAAAAAAAAAAAAAGTTAAATAAATAATGGTTTTTAAAGAGAAGTTTATTTATTTGTGTTTTGAGAGAGAGAGAGAAGCACCCCTTACAGGGTCTTCATTCTGCAATTAATCCCCCAATCTTAGTCAGCCAGGTTTACAGGTGTGCATGTACTTGGCGTGTACAGGGAGACCTTGGGATACAAATCTCGGACCTTCCCATTTGGCCTCAGCATCGCAGTGTTGTGTTACTGTTGTGCCAGTATTGTTTGTCTCTTTCAGTATTTCTTATTATGAAGGTCTGCAAGTAACAAATTCTCTTATCTTTTGTTTTATCTGGAAATATCTTTATTTTGCTCTCAATTTTTAAAGATAACTTTGCTGTATATAAGATTCTTGGTTGACAGTATTTTACTTAAGTACTTTGAATATGCTATCTTGTTGCCTTCTGGCCTCCACTGTTCCTGATGTTAGTTTTATTGGGGTTTCTTTGTATGTGATGTATCATTTTACTTTGCTATTTTCAAGCTTTTTGCCTTTAGCTTTCAACTTTTTACTGTCATGTGCCTGGTTGTGGATCTTTTTGCATTTATCCTATTTGGAGTTTATTGAGCTTCTTGGATGCATAGATTAATGTTTGTCATCAAATTTGGGAAGTTTTCAGCCCTTATTTCTTTAAATACTTTTACTCCTGTTTTCACTTACTATTCTCATGGAACTACCAGTATTCTCTTAGTGGGTCACCACTAAAATTTCTGTTGTTTTCAGCAGCACCTTTGGGGTTGAACTTTCCCAAATTCTGTCACCAAGTAAAGTGAATCCCTCTAGGAAGGGCTACATTCCTAGCTCTTCCTATGTCCTACCTCTTCTCCCAGGCAGAACCTCTGCACCACTACTTGGGACCTGGAGGGGTAAGGACAGCAGCTTATTTTTCTGAGTGATTTTAAAGTAAGTTGCTGAGTAGGGTAGTATATGCTGTTATTGGCTTACCTCTCCTGACATGGAATCTATATCCTATGATTTGATGGGATGGGGTAAATCAGTCCTCAGCAT